GGGCCCCGCGCAAGCGGGGCGGGGCGGTCCGCTCGACCGAACTTCGGTGGAGATTTCCGTGTTGTTTTCTGATTTTCATCATCCAATAAGATAAACTTGAAGACCGAGGTTTAAACTTGGTGCCCCTGAATCGTCAAACACTCACAAAAACCCAGGTTTTGGGCCTACCAAGGAGGCTAGTATTTCGGAGTGTATATAAAATCTATTTGTCTTTTATATACACACCGGGAGTGTATATAGCCACGGCGTTTTCTTAACTATAAATTATGGTAAACCAAGGAATAGATTTCTTTAGTTTATTTTTCTTATACTGAACATTGTTTTTTGCAGGTCTTCCACCACAGCTACCGTCATTTGAGACTGGGTCCAAACCTTCCAAGAAAACATCCAGGTTCAAGCAGAGACGAAAAAAGGTTTGCCTCTTACGAATTACTTTCTATTCATTTTCCATATCATATTCTGTACCTTTGTCACAAATAAGACTGATAGTAAGGCCGCATTGGGACTGTGGGGCCAGGTTGCATGCCTAGATGCAATACACAATGTTCATATCAAGTCTACTACATTAGTATTGCTGTATTACTAGAACAGGAAGAAACATCACATTAACTATCAAAGACTTGACGACTATCTCTACTGATCCACAGGTACAAGATGGGAAAAAGGACGAAGAGTTTGATGCAGAGGAAGAGATGGAAAGTATGTGGACAATTCTTGGTTTATCACTTTCACTATTCTCTAGGCTTTATATGTTTTAAGTTATTATTATTTCTTGAGTAATAAAGTATCCAAGTTGACATAAAGTTAATGCCTTATGTTTCCACAGCTCATGACACCCATGTCACCAAGGTGCTTACAGAGATAGTGGTAAGTTTTCACTACGCCGGCCACCTGTTCAAACACGTGTGAGTGCACGTGCCTGCGTTGTGTTCGAACAGGTGATCTATACTGGTACCGTTCGAGGGAAGGCGCTCTAGAACCAGCCAGTTAGGAGTTGAATAAAGGATTTGAGCTAAAGCCATTTTGTTTGTTTGTTTGTTTATTTCGATCCCCATTAGTGCTTAAAAGCACTATTCTTCCTGGGGTCAGTAAAATGAAACATAAATAACAAAACTTGTACATTGATCAGTGCAGACGTGTGTCATCTTCGTCTTGTAACAATATAATGAGAATAATCTGTTGTAGACACATACAGCAGCCTCAATTCAATTTTCATATTTGCCATATACCAAACCTACATCTGTATGCAACAAATAATACATTTTTCCTTTTCTGTGTGTGGAGTACATGTATATGCTTTGTCATGATAACAATACTATAACTACAGTAGTCCTAAAAAGACTATGATTGGCTGCACAGGAAAGAGACACTAGTGGACAATCTGTGAGGCAGCCCCTGGCCACAGGCTTGGCTTTCCCCAAGGTGCTGCACAGACAACATGCAACTGCAGCAGCACAGGTCTCATATTACTTTGTTGTCATCATTTTTACTCTAATGTATAGAGAGCTAAAATGTGAAAAGTAGCTTTGTATGTATGTTGGAGGTGGGAGTGTCCAGCAGGGACAAGTCTGTGTCTGGATGGTGTTCAGCACCAGGGACAGGTATGTCTGTGTGAGGATGGTGTTCAGCACCAGGGGCAGGTATGTCTGTGTGAGGATGGTGTTCAGCACCA